TCTTTTATGTATTATGCTTAGGTCTGACCTAAGCGTAGTACACAAAATTATCTGCTACAATGTCCTACCTGTCAATGACTACTTCAACCACAACAATGCAGGAGCACACAATAGATACAAACTTAAGATAAACTGCTCCAAACTCGATTGTAGAAAATACAACTTTAGTAGAAGAGTTGCCAATGCCTGGAATACACTACCTGACTTTGTGGTTTCTTCCCCAAACCCCCAAAACTTTAACCTTAGACTGTCTACTGTCGACCTCACCCCATTCCTAAGAGGTCTGTAAGGGACGTGCCTACCGTCCCTGTCCTAATGTTCCCTTTTATATCCATTTCATGTATTCATAATCATGTTTATACTTATAACTGTTATCTAGTACATGCTTGTCAAAAATAAATAACTTTTTAAAAAAATTAAAAATACAGCACGGGTGGTTGACATGCAAGGACATAATGGTCCTGTCCTGCTGTGGACCTCAACAGCATTTCGGGAACGTGCTGAGTGCTAGAAAGTGTTAATATCCCACCATGAAGCTCCAGGACATCAGGTCTATGCAGGGGCCAAATAGGGGCTACAGAATTGTAGAAGAATTCTAATCCAAAACACAAAGGAACAAAGGATTAAACAAGCACAGATGTTTTCTAGGGATGTCCACCCCATTTCTGGGAAGAAGCCCACTGCAGCTGTTGTCCTCCTGATGCTCTATTTGCTTAGACAGACCAGCCTACATTAACCTCTCAGCTCATTTGGGTTTTGTCCTTTCCTGTTTAACAAATACAGAAGGAGGACTCTGATGAACACTTGCCGACACCAGTAACTTATCCAGATGAATACTTTTTGCGTTGCTCTTTTAGATAATTTCAAAACAAATTGGAATGTACCTTTTGAATGTGAGCAGTCTCGCAGCAAACAGGAGGAAGCTGACCTGTTCAGAAGGATAAAGGTATGGGAAAGGGTAAGCAAAATGGTGAGAGGTTTGAGGTGACTCCTTTTTGAAGAAAGGTTGCAGTATCTATCACACTGTAATTTAGAAAATTAGTAAACCAAGCATGAGAGAGGTTTACAGTATACAACATAGTTATGGGTAGCAACAGACAGAAGAACCCTAGAAACTGTTCTCTGAGGAAAATATCAGAGAGTGAGAAAGACCCAGCAAGCACTATTTTTCACCTTTACTGCCTAAAGATTTTACCACACCTCTGCTGCTTTAGATATTCAAGTCTATTACAAGATGCCAACTGCAAACCAGCACTAGTGTGTTGTAAGCATCAATGCATAGCCTTTGCTACCTTAGAAATCAGTTTCCCTCTCACCGCTACACAGAGGTAGGTTCCTACCTATTCAGACCTGTTAGATCGGAGAGAAGCAGCAGGCGAGAGGCACAAGTGAGTTTCAGCACTTTTTATTGCAAGAGTAAGTGACTGCGCTCTGCCGGCTGGGCTGCTGGAGCTCGCCTTTTAAGGAGCTCCAGCAGACCAGCCAGCCAATGACAGTAGTTTAAACTTCCCGGAGTTTGGGCAACCAATCCCCGGTGAGCATGTGAAAATTTAACAACGTCCGTACATACATAACAGGACCAGTTCGGCCGAATAGGTAGTAACTCAGTCAGACACTTGACCATACTGGTTCTATCCTGGGCGCTGCCATCTTTATTTTCTGTTCTCCACATGCACAGAATAATCTTCATTGAAAAAAAATGTAATCCCCCCACATTTTTTTTAATGGTGTGCTCATGCACAGACCTTTTAAAGTTCAAATGTGCATGAGCAAAGCGAGCATGCACGCACAAATTTTTTCGGGCACCAAACCGGTAGTAATGCTGGTAGGAACCCACCCCTGCCACTACACATATTTCCACTCAACATTGCAACCTCTCTGTCAACATAGAGGAGCACAAAGATAACACTGTAGAACATATGCAGACATGAATTGAGACCCTCAATAAAGTAAAAAGTAAATGTAGATGTTTCCCTTTGCCAATCGTGCCTGACTCTAGGGAGTGGTGCTTATCTCCGTTACTTAGCCAAGGGAGCGAGTGTTGGAAGACACTTCTGTGGCCTTGTGGCCAGCATGACTATACACACTGAGGTATATGTCCTGTGGCCAGGCATTTGAGGCCAGAAGAACAACCATAGCACAAGAGAAGTGAACCCTCCGCAAAGCAGAGCAGCAAATGCTGCAACAATGATGCCCACACATGTCTTCCCGACATGTGGCAGAACATTTCATGCCCATGTAGGCCTTACCAGCCACCTTAGGACACATCGTAGACAGCCCACAACCTGTTATGTGTCAAGGTCCTCTTCAAACACAATGGACGGACATCATCACACACAGAGGGGCACAGAACACTCTTACCTTCCCACTGAATTGGCACCTATTTTCCAATCGCATTTCCATACTTTTGAACTGCGAGGTGGGCAGGAGACGGGGTAAGTAATGAGCGCTCACCCCATTGTGTGGCACTCAGGTCTTGAACCCAGGCTGTAAGTTTTCCAGCTGACAAGGTCAGCATCTTTAACTGCTGAGCCACTCTGCCCCAATCAATAAAGCACAGTTGTGGTATTTCTTGTGGTATTTGTTTCCTGACCTAATCTAAAATCAGTACGGAATTTAAAACTGACAGTTTGCTAATGTTTTTGCTGGAAATGTGATTTCAGTGGCACTAACTCCTCAGCACCTTGCAATCTCCTGACCATAAGTGGCAGGAGAAAAAAAATTAAGGCTTGTTTTATGTTTTGTCTTTGTCTTTCAGCCTGCCTGCTTTTTATGAGATTATTAATCTCAAATTACTAATCTGTCATTGTTCCCAAAACATACACATTTTTTCTTACCTCTCTTTGTGATAGGATATAGCTAGGTAACCTAGGATAGGATATTGCCTATCCCTTTCATGCATTTTATATGCATACCGGGGGAGGGTGTTCCTGCCAGTTCTAACCTCTTCTATAGAAGAGGTTCCACAAATCTACAGTGC